CTGTCCCTCAGCTCTTCAGCTCAAGGATAGCTCTCTACCACTTGAGCCACAGCACCACTTCCGGCTTTTTTCTTTTTGCTTATGTGGTGCTTGAGGAATCGAACCCAGGGCCTCATGCATGCAAGGCAAGCACTCTACCACTGAGCCACCTTCCCAGCCCTCTTTTTTTCTTTCTTATAATTTACAGAAGTATGATGAAATATGAAGGACAAGCTGGTAGTTTTTATATAGTCAGCTCAAAATACAGTATTTATTGTATGAGCAGCTGTGACAGTAGGGTAGGGCTAGTGTGGTGTGTAAAATTGAGGTCTTAATCTAATTGTGGTGGAAAGATTCTTGATGGTGTTGGAGAAAACTGAGGTTTTTATTTATTTTATTTTATTTTATTTTTTTGTCGGTCGTGGGGCTTGAACTCTGGGCCTGGGCACTGTCCCTCAGCTCTTCAGCTCAAGGCGGGCGCTCTACCACTTGAGCTACAGCGCCACTTCCTGTTTTTTCTGGTGGTTTATTGGAGATAGGAGTCTCACGGTCTCTCCTGCCCGGGCTGGCTTTGAACCGCGATCCTCAGATCTCAGCCTCCTGAGTAGCTAGGATTACAGGCGTGAGCCACCAGCGCCCGGCAAAACTGAGGTTTTTAAATGATTAAATGAACCTTATATTCTTATATCTTGAGTTCATTCTTATCAGGGTTGTCAGACTCCCTACTTGAAACACCTCTAACAAACTAAGCTTATTCCTTTGGGCTTTGCATTTGCTATTCTGTAGCTTAGAATGTTCCACCCCACTCCAGCTCTGCTTCAAGCCTAAGCTCTACCCAGCTCTCAACTTTTGACACTTTAAAGAGTCATTTTTCTAAGTTCCCAATTACAGTAGCTTCCTTGGTAACTTTTCCTTACTTCCCTCTGTTTACAGCATTTATTGTTATGTGATAGTGTGATATGTTGTTTTGTTTGCACATGTCAGAACTCCTTAGAAGCATATTTTTTTTTCTGTGAAGTTATCTCAATGCCTCAAACAATGGTTGGTACAAAATAGATGGTTAAAAAGTATTACTAGAACAAAAGCAACCATAGTTTTCTTTGTGTGATAAAGTGATATAGTGTATAACTAACCAATTGGCTGTTTTTCTGTGTCTTTTAATATGAACAGCATCTCAACAGACTACCTCAGAATTTCTTCATGAAGAAAACTAGAGCTAGGCACTGGTGGCTGGCTCATGCCTGTAATCCTAGCTACTCAGGGGATTGATATCATGGTTCAGAGCCAGCCTGGACAGAAAAGCCCCCATGAGACTCTTATCTAAAATAAACTACTCAAAAAGCTGGAAGTGGTGTTGTGGTTCAAGTGGTAGAGCATTAGCCTTGAGCACAAAGAGGCTCAGGGACAGCATCCAGGCCCTGAGTTCAAGCCCCAGGACAGGTGGGGGAAAAAAACCCCAAAACTAGAAAAGTTAGATTTATGATTTGTCAATAGGGTAGGAAGGTAAAGCTAGGTCC